CTACAGAATTAGTACAGCGTGCCTTGATTTGCTGCCACTTATTATACGGAAAGCACGTTATGATTTTTGTTTCTGTTCAGTAAGTCTTTCCACCCACAAGTGGTGTGGAAGGGAAATTCTCTCAACCCTTCATCGTGGGGCGTGGAACTGTTGATGGAGGAAAGCAGCTTAGGTGCCTGTGCCGTCGAATGTTCCTCTCGGTTGCCCTCATCCTATGCAGCACAGAGCTGGAGAGTGGCCCCCGCCTGTGCCGACGGGAGGGGGACACAGGAGGGGACACGTAATGACTGCAAGAGTTAGAAGCACAAACTTTCTGAGCCTTGGAGCATCTGGAAGCAGGTATTGATTTTAGTCTGTTTGTGTTACTGTATTGATGTGGTGGTCACATTTTAAGAAAACGTGTGCGTGTACATATATAGATATAAACACATGGATATTTCTGTGGCTTAGGACATTGTACCAAGTGTGACAAGGATGTATATATGTCCATGATTTCAGGCACCACATCTTCGTGTAACTTTAAACCAAGCAAGTAGCATGTGCATAATACTTGGTTGTAACATTTGCACTACATACACTTTAATTACTTGATAAATGTTTATCTTCACTGAGGAGCATCTGTGTACTGGGCGTGAGTGGGGTGTGATGGTTATTTAATGTACGCTGCGCATAAAGCTTATTTATACAGTGGATGGAGCTGATCCACCTTCCTGCACTAATATGTACTTGATGTGCTGAAACAATTTTTTTTCTGCCATGGCTGGTTTACTGATTTTTGTTTTTTTCATATGCAATTTCAAAAAACGCAGTTCTGGAAGAGGTTATTTCTGTGATCGAATTACGTTTTAGCGACGAGGTTTGACACAGTGCTTCTGGAAAGAAATGGGTGAAGAAATAGCATTGCCTCATATCCATCCCTTCCCAACCCCCTTTTCCTACTGTTTCCTCGGAGGGGGGGGGGGGGGGAGAGAGAGAGAGAGAGAGAGAGAGAGAAGTTGTATCTGAGTATCTCAGCAAGAATTTCCCAAGCTCTGCCATCACCACAAACACCTTTTCTGTCGCTGTTGATGTACGACTTTAAGTTATGCCAAAGGTTTAGCCAAAGACATCCTTCTTGTTTCACCTTCCTGTACGTAGGCGCTAACCGCACACCCACCCAGCAGACAGGACATAGGCTTCTTTCTAGTTGGGAGATGCTGCTCGCGATGTGTTATCCCAGGAGGATACTTTAGTTTCTAGTTCTTTTATCAGTCTTATCTGGGGGAATAGGTGGTCTGTCTTTGAAATATTGAACCCTTTTTAAAAATGGACAAGAGAAATGTATAATTTTATCCCATTTTTAATATTTTGGTGTAGCAACTTGTGATACATAGATGACAATTTTGTGAGTTTTACTATGTGTGTACAGATTTTGTAAATACGACATTTTTGTAATTTTAACTCCATGTACAGTGTAATCCTGTATAGTTTATCAATGAATGCGAGATAGGAAATCGAATGTTAACAAGTTTTGGATCTCGGACCAGTAGCAGGGATAAATGTGGTGTGTGTGTGAGACGTTCTTTGCCATTTAGTCTTCCTGTATACTGTGACACTCTAAAATGTTTTGCTAAAGCAAACAAAGAAAAAAAGGCACGCGGGGAATCTAATGGATAAGGAAAAAGTTACTGTTTACCTTTATCCCTAGGTGTCACTCCTGTTGAATCCCTGTTCAATCTGTGCTGTCTCCCGTGATCATTGCTTGCTAAGAAAATTCTATGCCTCAACTTTCCTTTAGTTTCCTAATTTTAATTTCATTTTACATAGCCCTTCTGTAAATTAAATGGAATAATAATGAGCATGTACACTGAAAGAAAAATAAAACAAGACTCTCAGTTACTATTTTTGTGTTAAATACAGTTACTGGGTGTTTTTGTAATAAAACCATGGATGGTCCTGCTTTTTTTTTGCTTTTTTTTTTTCTCTTCTTTTTTTCCCCTTATCAGATAGTCATTTTATTTTAATGTCTTTCAGGTGTGATATTTGAAATACCTTACTGGCATCCCTCCCTTTACAGCAGTACAGACAGGAGCATACATAGCAGCCTGTGTCTCAGCAGCACCTGAAACACGGTGTTGTTACCTCCTCTGAAATGGGGGATGAGAGTCTTTATGGTGCTGTAAATAACTTGCACTGTGTTTAATGAATGCCATCGTTCCACCTACATCAGCTTCCAGGTATTTCCCTCAAATGGATCAAGTTTCAAGGCTAAACGCCTTGAAAAATGTCTGCAGTGAGAAGAGCAGACCTGGTTTCTCCTGCTGCTTGTTTGCACCTTGAGGTCCTCCAGCAGACAAGCTGAGAGCTCCCTGCAGGGCAGGTGTTTCTCATGCAGGTGGAGAAGTGCTCAGCTGCCTGTGCAGCCTGCCCTCCTGCAACGTGAGGTGGCGTTGGTCACCCCATGCTCACTGTGCTCTCAGAGAACTTTGGGATCTCTGACTGGAGGTGCTGTGCGCACTTATGTTCAATACTAAAACGTGATCGTACTGCTAATAACTTCAATTAACTTCAGTAAATCCTTTTCCAACAGTGACTTGGTTTTAGCTGCAGGAGAAATTCTTGACAGAACAAGTTGAGCAAAGGCTACGCAAATGCTCCCAGTGTCCAGCAGCTGTAGTTCTCCAGGAGTGGGAGGTCAGGACTGTATAGCCCGAGATGTTTAACAGCTTCAGTGCTCCCATTTCACTTGAGGTACTTGGGTGAGTCAAAAAAGAAAATATATATATATATATATATATATGTACATATATAGAGTAGATAATTAAATGTTCCTTCTTAATAATTCAGAGACTTCTCAAAGTTGGTCTTGAGGCGTGGAACTTGCTTTGAAAAATCTTGCTCAGGCACTAAGAAGAACACAGCTCATTACCTTACCGTGACTTGTTCTTATTTCCTTTGCTCCTTTTTGATTTGCTGGCAATTTCTTTTGTAAAATGAGAGAGCTTTTCATCCATTAGAAGATTACCTTGGCCCCTAACCCTGTTTTTAAGATCTATTAAGAGCACTTTGCTGTTGTGCAGAGCTGTGCAGGAGGAGGAGAGAAGGAGTCTCCAAAGATAATTTATCAGTGAGGAACGAAAGCACTTTCCCCTCATTGCTTGGGTTTGGCTTGTTCTTTGTGCTTTCAGTCTGCAGTTTCCTTTCGGATGGGCATGGAGAGAGAATGTGGGACAGCTCCTCTGCATCTTGCCCACTTGCCCTTTGTAGCTGCAGCTTCATAGCTTGTTTCCCTGAGATGGTTTGTTTTGTTTTCCACTGTCTGGAGTAAGCTAAGCCAAGCAGTGCCTGTATGGATGCATTAGGGCAGCTAGTATGGAGCCCTGAGGCCTCGTTAGAATGAAGAGCTGAGGAGCACTGGGGCACTAATGGCAAGTTTGAAGTGCTGGGATGGAATGAGAATAGAGACTGGAGGGGAGAGCTCATGCATGCATTTGTCTGCTGGGCTTTGAACATTGCAGTGTTTTCCACAGTGTTTCACTTGTTTGTGGTTAACAAAGCTGATCTTGGAGCCCTTCTGTCTGGAGGTGACCTTCCTTCCCATGCCCATAGGCCTGCAGGCAGATGCTGATGTCCTGGGAGTGTTGCAAGCAGTGCCACTGGATATCACCAGCACCCTCTGCTCCCAGAAACAGTTTCTGTCAAGAAAACTGAATTTTCTGTTGTCAGGAACTGTTGCACTTCTAATTCTTAACAGATTCTTAAAATGAGCCAGCAGTGTGCCCAGGTGGCCAGGAGGGCCAGCGGCATCCTGGCTTGCACTGGAAATGGTGTGGCCAGCAGGAGCAGGGAGGTGAGCATCCCCTGTACTCAGCTCTGGTGAGGCCGCACCTCGAGTACTGTGTTCAGTTTTGGGCCCCTCACTACAGGAAAGACATTGAGACCCTGGAGTGTGTGCAGAGAAGAGCAACGAAACTGGTGAGGGGTCTGGAGCACAAGGCTTATGAGGAGCAGCTGAGGGAGCTGGGATTGTTCAGTGTGGAGAAGAGGAGCTCAGGGGAGATCTCACTGCACTCTGCAACCTCCTGAAGGGAGGCTGTGATGAGGAGGGGTTTTGGCCTCTTCTCCCAGGCAACAAACAGGACCCGAGGAAATGGCCAGAAGTTGTACCAGAGGAGGTTTAGTTTGGACATGAGGAGAAACTTTTTCTCTCAGAGGGTGGTCAGGCACTGGAATGGCTGCCAGGGAGGTGGTGGAGTCGCCGTCCCTGGCAGTGCTTAAGAGGCACCTGGATGAGGAGCTGTGAGATGTGGCTTAGTGCCTGTGGTAGCAATGGTGATGGGAGGGCAGTTGGACTGGATGATCTTGCAGGTCCTTTCCAACCTTGCAATTCTACGATTCTGTGATTTGCTGGAATAGCTGTCGGGTGTGTAAGAACTGATTTGTGCATTAAGGTCATTCACGTTTCATCAGAACTATAAAACAGAACCTCTTGTGGGGCTCAGTAACTCAGCCAGAGGTGATCCTTCCTTTTAGGGCTGGCTGTGCACTCTGCTGGCAGACTAAACCAGGGGTGCTGGAGCCTGGTTTTTGGGGTTGTGAAGGGACAAATGTTCTGAACTGGCTCAGTTATTTCATGTCAACTTTTGTCCCAGACACCTCAGCTGTTTTCCCCCCTATATGTGGTTGCACTGACACAGAGGGACTCTTCTGTGTCTTGGCTGATCAAACACAGCTTGGCACAACACATGCAGCCAGGTGAAAATGTTGCCGCTGTGTTGTGGGGTTAATGCAATACACACCAGCTCTGGTTTGTGCTTTTCATGCAAGGTATTACCCAGGATGTTCCAGAGGTAAAGGTGAAGCAACATAAGAGGCAAATGAAAATGAAGCTTTCTGAAAATGGAACTCTTGAACATAAAATAGCATCAAGAGTTAAGGAAGTATGGGGCCGGATTTGAATGCTTTTAACGCAACCTTTTCCATTCCCTAATTCATTCCCCTATGCTATTAGCTCAGTCATTTTAAAGTATACGTATAGCAGTCTTGGAAGCAGGTTTTAAGTGTCTTAATATTTCAGACCTATGTAACAGATTCCTGCTAATGCTTAACCTTCAATTCTATTATTAATGCTCATCAGAGAATGTTTATTTTTAATACCAGTCTCACACACACACACCAAAAAAACAACCCCGTCATGACTACAAATACGCATTCCCATCAAGTAAATAATCAAAGCAGCCCAAATCTCTTAGTTCCCTCTTCACCACAGTTGGTTTGGGCGAGCTGCAGGAGAGCCTCGGGATGGCCAGCACTGGTGGGGAGCTGCTTCGGCCTTTGGAGGGACTCAGATGCACTCATGCTTTGGGTTTTAGTTTTCCCTCTCATTCTTCAATTCAGATTTCTGTAAGGCTGAAAAAATCATGGGAGACTGAATTTGGAAGTTCACTGGTTTTGACCAATGTCAGTGGGGTTAGCAGCATCCTTAGGGAAATGCATGGGGCTGATTTTCAGGGCTGCCGAGACCTGCAGCTCCAGCTGGAGGATACAACCCACAGGTGCAGCAGTTCTTCAGATGGACATTCTTCATCTCCCGAGCCTGCAGGTCTCTCAGTGCTCTCTGGACAGTGTTCTTGGTTCTCACATTTAGCATTTAGCTCTGAGATGTTTGGTTTTTTTTTTTTGCTGCTTGATGTTGCAGTTGGGCTTTGCTTCTGAGAACCCGCTGCAAGATGAATAATTAAGCTGCAGGCAGGAAGCATGGTATTTTAACACTCCATTCCTTCAGAGATGTCCCTGGCTTTCTTTTTTATGGTGTCTAAGCCAGCAGTGGCCTGACCTAATGACAGATCTTGGCATTCCCTACCAGTTTATGCCTTCAGAGATGTGTTCAGAGGTGCTGAATGTGAGGCTCAAGCCAGCTTTGCTCCTTATAATGACCAAATCTGGCTGCTCATGTACAGTAGGAAAAAAATGACTGTGTGCGGGTCTCTAGGTTTCAATAAAACCTACTGTGCTGTGTTAGCTTCGGATATTTGTCTGCCCCGAGGGAGTCTGCCTGCTTTGGTTGCTACTGGTGGTGCCTGCAGAGGACTTTTTTGTGTTTTCTTTTCTCGTCGTGGGTTGTGGTAATGAACAGAACTGCCAAGCAAGGCTTTACGTGGTGCCCCACCTGGTGCAATGAATTAGCCACTTCATAAACCTGCCCCAAATTTCCTTCTGAAATGGACCGTTCTGGGTTTCCGGGAGGTGTCAGGAGGCTTTGCAGAACTTGAGTTGATGAGATCTATGTTTATTCTGCAAATTTTGCTGTGCTTAGAGAGGTAAAGCAGGATGATCGCTGCCTGCTTTTGGTGCACTTAGTGCAGGAGTTAATGGGTCTTTGTGCTCTCCTTGCAGGCAAAAAGGTTTGTGTGGAAAGTCAGGCTCTTCATAGGAAAGGCATAGCTGGTTCCATTGCTGCAGCTGAAATTAGGTACTGAAGTTTGTGTCTGAGCACCTGGATATAACAGCTCCATTTCAGAGCAGCATTTCAGTATTCCCCCCATGATCAATGCTGCCAAAAAATTGGGTCAAGTGTAAGATTTTAAAGGTGTTTCCTCCTTGAGCCTGTCTAGTCTATCTTTAGCACTGTCGTTGCTGTAAGTATCCCAGTTTTCCCTTCCTGATGCAAAGCACACAGCAATGTTCTTTTTATGCAACTTGCAATCTCTGCCTACAAGGAAGATAACTGATCTGTCCCTGTAAGATAATCTTCTGCATGCTCTGCATTTCCCTAACAAGCTCCACGGGAGCATTCGGAGCTGAGGGTCCACACCTCAGAGCTCTGTTCAAAAGGAGTTCAGCAGAGGATCTTTCCTCCTCATTCTCATACACACCTAAGATTTTAGGGCTACCTGAAAGAGAAGCTCTCTAGTCAAAGGCTTTTTGCCTGCAGTGGCAGTAAGCAGAGTTTAATAAACTGCAGTGGGTACAGCTCTGCCCTCTGGTATTTCCTCAACACATTACTTATGCTGGCATTTGGGGTCTGTAAACTTCCAGCTCCACTGCAGAAGCAAATGGAAACTTTTAAACGGGGTTAAACAGGCCTTGCAGCAAAGACTGGCAAAAACAGAAGCAGATGTACCTTTCGTCAGTAACATCAGATTTACGTTCATTGGACAAAGATATAAGCTGTTCTACAGACAGAGGCAATGCAGTGAGCAGCCTGCCCTAGGTCTGTTTCTGCCAGCCACCAGGTGTGTGCCAGCGCAGGTGGCTCACAGAACTGCAGAATGGGAGGGGTTGGAAGAGACCTTGGATGTCCTGGAGTTCCAGCCCCCTTGCCCTGGGCAGGGCTGCCAGCCACTGAAGTGCTGTGTTAAACTGCTGCTTCGATCTGGGACAAAATGTGCTTATTGGTGCTGTGTTGTGTGCATGCTGTGGATCTGAAGACATTACAGAGGAAGGAGCCAAACGTTACTGCATCTCCAAGCTCAAAAGGAAGACCTTAATAAGGACTGCTGAAGCTGACTGGCTGCTTTGCAGTCACGAGGTAAGCTGTGTTTATTTTTCTACATTAAGTGAAGTCCAGCATAAGGAAAGACTTACCAAGTTGTCCAAAACAATGAATGCTGTGCTTTCACGTTGCTGCCTTGGTGAAAAAGACTTGGTGTTGGTTGATTGTGTGTGGAGATGTACTCAATAGACTCACTCTGACAACTGGAGGCATGCTGTTCTTTAATCATGCTATAAGGAATTTCCCAGGCTGTAAACTAAACACAGGTAACACGTTTCTCTACAACTCCTAATTCCGTACGTATCGCACACGGTACAGAGGGGTACACCTGGCATTCACTCACCAGTGAAGCTCTGGCTCCTTCCCACATATTACTCCTCGTGCAGCCCATGTGAGAATGCTGCATTTCAGGATCTTTCCTGAAAATACCCTTATTCTGCTCATGGCCCTTTGATTCCTGCAGACGACCTTTCCCTGGAAATACATTATTGTAAGGCTTGAACTCTGAAGATGAAGGTAACATGTAAGACGTTACAAATATCGGTAGGTATGACCAGTGTGTTTTCCTTCACAGCTGCCCAGTGATACAAGAACGAAGCCAGCCTACAGCCAGATGGGAGGAAGGATGTGCCCAGGTCTGACTGCATCTGTACTGCAGGCTCTGATGAAATTAAAGCCGCTTCCTGGAGATTTACGACTGATTCCATTTCCTGGCTGTGTGGATGTGCCCTCCTGGTGGGGGATGGCATCTGGAGTTCTCTGAGGGATGGGGGGGGGTTGTTGAGGGAGAAGAAATTACAGAAGGAATAGCAAATACAGCTTCAGAGAGGAATCCAGATTTTTAACCTCGGTTCTGAGAGATGTACTGTTTGATATCCAAGGAAGGGATGTTCTGTCATGGTAATCTGCTGCTAGAAAAACAAACTGCTTTGAACTACTGACTGTTCTTTGAAAGGCTAAGCAGCCTAGTGTTCTTGTCTGATATTTAAAATACTTACAAAGTTATAGATTAACTGAAACATGGAAAATCCTTTACCAAGAGGAAGAATACTGGTGGACTTTTTCTCCCCAGAAGTTTAGAAAGGCTTTTATTCTGAAGCCCTTTTGTCTGAAGACTGCTTTCTCCCTTCACATGACACTCACAGCAATGCTGAAAGTCCTGGCTGCTCTTTGCAGTTGACAGTATGCCAGGAAGAGCACTGAGGTCCAGAGAAGCCAGCCCAGTCCATTGACAAGATTTCCTTTGGTTTGAAGAAGCTCTCAAAAGTGATGCAAGCAGCAGCTCTGTGTGTTTTCACCCTCACAAGCAAAAGGATCTCTCCAGATGCAAGCTTTCGAGTGCTGCTAGAAAGCTATGAGTTTTCACAGAGTGCCAGTCAGCACAGTGTAGAAAGTCTGATCTCCCTCAAGTGCCAAAAGATGGTCCTCTGAGTCCTGACAGTGTCAGTGGAGCATGAATTTGAGCTCATGCTGTTGCGAAGAATGCTTTGTAAATCCATCCCTTCCCAGTTATTTACCCATCTGTCTTCTGCTCAACTGGCCTTGTCACTCCAAGCTTATTTTCTTCTAGTCCATGCTGTCTGCATCAACTCAATAGCTGTTCTTTCCTGGGGCTTACAGAAAGCCAATCAGGCAGTGATAATTTCATCTGAGCACCCCCTGAGGACAGCTGATTTCCTTAACTCTAGTTAACCATGTAGTTTGTTTCTTATTGAGTCTGAATAACTCCAGCCCTAATCAAGGTAACACGCTGACAGTGATCTCTGTGCTGCTCGGCTTCATCTCTTTCCCTCATCCTCCTTCCATTTTGCACATCTCTTAACAATGCTGAAAAATCTCCGAGGATGGCATTTTGCAATCTCTGTGCACACTGGTCTGCTAAGCACTACTGTAATTCTAATAAATAATAATAAATTAAACATATGGTTATGAGTGTTTGGGCACGTTAATGGAGAAGGATCTATGTGGTATGTGTGAACAAATGTGGAATTCTGGCAAATTCCTGCCAGAGTTTGTTGTCCTGTAAATAGGCTGCACTAAGATACTCCTAAAATCTATTCATTTGGTTGCAAGCCCTCCAGGTTCCCTTTCTCAGCTGGTTTGACACTTTTCTGCTGCTGGTCTGCCTGCATTAACTGAGAGGTGATGCCTGTGTTGCAATCTGTGCTTTCCTTTTCCATTGGAAAGGCTTCTTCACTTGCCTCTTCTGAGTACAGGAAAGCCTTGGGCTGTGGAGCAGGTTCCACATGAGCCAGATCTCAGCAACTTTCAGACTGTGAACTACCATCAAATCCTTGTAAAAACAGGGGTCAAATGTTTGTAGGTGTGGGGCTGCAGAAGGCTTGACAATACCAAAGGTCTTGAATCCTTCATGCAAAATGGGTTTGAGGCTGATTCTCTGTAAGCACATGCCCAGAAAAACGTCATCGATGGGGAAGAGTTCTACCTCTCCACAAGCCCTGGACAGCTTCCTCATAGTGCAGCTGGACAGCAGGAAGCCTCCTCCTCCTGCATAGGCTGGGTAGATGCTGAGGCCATACATGGTCTCTGGAATGTAGTATTTACTCTTCCTGGTGCGGATGGGACGGGCATTGTAGATGATGTCCCCAACGAAGAGGTCCTCGGTGGGGTTGTGTCTCTCAAGGAAGTCAACGATGTTCTCGATGTTGACAAAAACATCAGCATCACCTTTAAAAATGAATTTCACGTTGTGGCAGAATTCAGCGGCCCAGTTCAGGAAGTGGATCTCCTTCAGGGTCAGGTTGAAGAAAGTGTCCATGAAATCCCAGAGCAAAATGTCCCGGTACGCCTGACTCTCCTGCTGCATCAGGGTCTCCCACGTTGCCAGCGATGTCCTATTCTTTGGTGTCCCCAGGAGGAACACTCTCTGAATCTGCTCCCCATTCACCAAACCCTCCCTGCCCCAGGTTTTCCGGACAATCTCCCGTCTGTCAAAGTCTTCCACTACTGATTTGATAGCAATGAGCAGAAAGGGGCCTCCAGGTATTCTCCTGCATTTCTTGGGCTGGTTAATGAGGAGGTTGAAGTTTCTGTTGTCCTTGTTTAGGAGGTAACGCTTGAAATTGAAGGCAGAATCAGTGGATGGGGCTGGAGTTGCAGTTTGGACCCTGCCATTAGCCACTTCTGTTCGTCTAGTGATATGAACTAATGGGGGTCTGGGTGCTGTTGCCTCAGTCGGTGTGGGTCTCCCAGGTGCTCTGGGGTCAGGGAATATTCTCTGTGTTCCTGAAGGCTTCTTCTGTGTCAGCTCCTTGTCCCCTTTGGGGGCTAAATAATCCAGCTGGGTGTAGAGCACCGAGCAAAGCGCTACCACCAGGAAAAGGGTACAGATCGCATCCCCTTTGAGATGAACTCTCATTGTCCCTGCGGTTTTCCTGGGGCTGCTAAAAGCTGTGGCTGAGCTGTCTGGCCCAAGCGTCCATCTGTAAATAAATGCGTGGCACGTCAGCAACGAGGATTTACAAAACCAGCCTGCAATTTCATTTTACTTATGCAAACACCAGGACATGTTGAGGAACTCGCTGACAGACACACAGGTCACGAACCTAACGCAGAGCTCAGCGCTGCGGCTGTGACTTGGGTAGGAGCTCAGACACCGAGAAGTCATCCCCAACACCCTGAAATACAGCGTGAAACCAGCCCTTCCTGCCCCCTCCCTCTCTGCCGAATGCTTTCTGCCATTGCAGAGACTTCTCCACACAGATGGAGAACAATGGACAACACCACGCTTTCAGATATCTTCAGACTTTAATTTCTTCTGCCGTGGTCTCTTGGCGGATGGCAGATGTTCTGCGGCAGTGTTTGGTTGGGCCATCACTGGAGCTCTTCCCTGAACGCAAAGGGAGCTCTCCCAAACCAGCAATGATCTGTGCCTTCAGAAGGGATGCATTAGGCACGCTCTTGAATGCACACGGGGCCTTTTCACCGCCAGTAATCTTTATAAAATATTAAACTATTCTGAATAACTTCTCTTCCATTACGAAGGTCGGAAGGGCCATGCTGCCTCTGCCAACTTGCTCCTAACTGGTAAGTGAGAAGCATGCAGATAAATCCCAGCGCACAGAAGCGCAGCAGAAACTGGCATTAGGAATGCCTCATTTGCACATGAGAGACGAGGCTGCCCCATGCGATATAAGATTTGATTCCCCACTTACGCTCTTCCCGGAGATTTTCTGTCTCATTCGATCAGTCCTTCAGCTGCAAGGAAAAAAAGAGAATTAGAAGAAGACGGAAAGCAGGAGGCGAATCTGGCTCAGGGGAAGAGCTGCTGGCAGCCTCACACATACGTGACTATGTATCTTGCCTGTGCTGCGTTACTAAAAGTTACCTTTGAAGATATTACAGTTTTCTTTGTTCATCTTCGAACTAGCTGAAGTTCAGCTGGCTGAGTGCGAGAGCACTGCTTCTTGGATGGATTCTGGCCTCAGCCAGGATCCCCGTTAGCTCAGTGGCATCCTTTTTCAGCAAGTTCTTTCTCACTGTCATGGGCTGTATCACATGCTGATGCTAGCTGTGAATTTTGGGTTGGCCATCACCTTTTTAAAGCTCAAAATGAGATGGACAGGCTTGTAATTATGAAGCAGGAAACCAGTGACACAGTGTTACTCCCATGGATCCAGTCAACGTGAAAAAGGCAAATTAATTTCTTGGCTACTCCATTACAGTTGTTAGATGCAGGTTTCTTGGACCTCTTCATTTGAACATTTTTTCATTGCTACTTGACCCCGTCTCCAAGTTACTCTTGAAGTGAAGAGCAGTTTGTCATCCTATGGCACCAGTTATCTTCTCCCCATGCACAGCTCCAGCATACACACTAACCTCTGCATTGCCCCCACTCTTCTCCTAGTGTTACTTTCACAAGAGGTTTGCTTATGCCCCACTAAGGCTCTTTGTGCCCCAGGTAGATTTAAAATCATTTTCTCCCGGCTCTCCAAAACTAGCATGACTTGTGCTCAGCAGGGTACGCCATCACGGCCCTCCAGAGTGAGCAGGAGATGCGCAGCTCTGGGCAGGATGGATCCTGACCGTTTGGGTGTCTCCACTCATCTCTTTCCTCATCTTAATAGCAATTTTTTTCCCTCTTTCTATACAAAAGTTTGATCTTATTTCAGCTGTCAGACTCCAGATGGTAATTAGGGAACTGGATAAAAGTCCTGGCTCTTTCCCATGTTTAATTTTGTCAGCTACGGGTTTGGAATGAAATAATGGAACTCATGATTTCCATGACTTACAGATTTACCCTGCCAGCATCTCTGAATCTGGCAAAAATGGCCCACAAAAGAAGCCAATAAAAACCCTGAATTGTTTTAAGCCTGGGCTGATAGCCCAGATTTTCTTCTGTGTTTTCATTTATTGTAAGAAAAGAATCCGAAACAGCGATTTTCATGCTGAACTGAAGCAGTTTGGTGCTGAACAGACATTCAGTCTTCAAGAAGAGCTGCCAGCCTTCGAAGCGATCCCTTGATTGAGTGATGTGGGTTTCCTGGTCAGTGATAATTGTTTCCTTCTTTTGAGAGAAATGCCCTCAGTCATCACACAGGTGTCAGCTCTGTCCTGTCCCTGGGTTTAGAGCGGCTGATGTCTGTGGCAGAGTCTGTCATGTCCCAAAGCCAAGAGGGTTATTCATCCGCCTTGGCACCGGGGGCAAAACCAACAACAACAATTACAGCGCTTTAAAGTGAGCAGATGTGTGATGCCAAACAATAGAGCACATCCTTATGCCGCAGGCCTGATGAGTGGAGAGCCCAGCTGCAGTGATTCGGAGCAGACCAGGAGGGTCCTGGCAGAGGTGGGGCCGCAGGGGCAGAGATGCAGGGCAGGAGGGCTGGGGGCATGCAGCTGGTGGGGCAGCAGGGAGAGCCGGGGGACCAGCTCCTGCTTTTTGAATGTTTGAAAGGTTCTGACAAGTAGCCAAGGGAGGCTGCAATAAAAAACTCTCAAAAGAAAGATGATTTAAAAAATAAAATCTGCTCGCCCTTCATTCTCACTTGAATGACGTGAAGCTTTGGACTGATCCTGGAAATGTTCTTCTCTTGCAGCGGCTGCCACATCTCCGTTACTTGGCACTTCTGCTCACACGTGGGGAAAAGCCTTTGGATACTGCTCCTGGATCTCAGTCACAATGGCGTGGTGATTCTGGCGCGCTGCTTTGCACTGGAAGAGTGGTGACTCAGCCTGCTCGACCTCGGGAAAAGCAGCTGTGATAGCAAAGCAAGCTGCAGATGTGCTACGTGGAGGAAGGGGATCCAGAACAGCCAAGCATAAAGGTGGTCAACCCCAGAGCACGCTGCCCAGAAGGCGTTTCCACCCAGGTCTTCTCCCTCTCTGCTGGAAGGTTTGGGTTGTGCAAGAGAGGGGCTCGGCTGCTGATGGAGATGCCCTACCTGCTCCAAAGAGCTAAAGGAAGTGCTGGGGGCTCTCTGAGTTTCTGCGGTCCTCAGAGGAACCTGCAGAATCTGGGGCGTTGAGGGTGTTTTGAGGCAGCATTTGAGGTTTGGGCTGCTTGGCTTTGCTTTGTGTTGCTTGAACCTGTTTGATGAGAACGGCGCCCAGCGCTGGGCTCTGCCAGCAGCAGGGGTTGTTGTGTGTAACTGAAGACCAGCGAACATCCTCACACAGGAGCGGTTCAGTTTGAGGAACCCAACAGCAACTGCACAATGTCCACCGTGAGCAAACCTGCAGCTGGGACTGACGTGGGCCTCCAGCAGAAGGAGAGCTGTGATACCCCCTGTGCTCCTCTGCTCCATCTCCTTTGTCAGCTCTGCCTGCTGCGACAATGGAACCGTTCCTGTGCCACATCTGCCCATGTGAAAGCCACGCAGCACCACCCACCCCCCGCCTATGGTGCCACTGCTCTCAGCCCAGTGCTGCTGCTCTGACATGGAATCCCAGCCCGCAGAGAACCTCAGAACAAATCCTGTGAGAAGATGCAGTGCTTCTTGGTTTCTCAACCCTGCCTCATCTGCCAAAGTGATGCTGGCCAGCTCTTATGCTGGTGAACCACGTGTCCTGGTGACCGCGTCCTGTACATCAGGTCCTGCAAGTGCTGAAGACCTCTGGGACCCCCTGAAGAAATCTGCTCCCCGGTGCTTGACATTTCTCCAATTTCTGGGCTGTTTGGCAGCTGTGGGGATTTCACCAGCAGCTCACTTGACACAGCAGGTTATTAGATCTTCTATTCTTCTTGCAGCCTCTCCCCCCGCGCTGCCTTTCCCCTTGGCCCAGCTCTAGGAGCAGGCTCTCACTCCACGCCAGACAGAGGAACAGAGCTTCCATTCACAGCGCTGCTTCCAGGTGATTCTGCCTTTCCTGCAGTCCTTCCCCTCCTGCTCACAGCCACGCTGGCCTCTGGCAGCCCATAGGGATGCCAGGAGCATCCTGGGCTCCTTCCACCTCCTGTTGCTTTGAAACACAGCAGATTGGTCCCAGTGCAAGTCTCATGCAAGACTTCAATTTGTGTCCCATGGGTGTTTGGCTCTGTTGGGTGCTGCAGGAAAACATCAGCACCCAGTGCATGAAAGCATGCACAAAACTGCTGACATTTAGTGGTTTGGGCTGGTTTTGCAGCCTTTAAAAGGGAAAAGAACAGTTCTGTGTGTCTGACCAGGAAAAGAAGCCCTCTTTATTTATTGTCTGGCTGTCATGTAACAAGCTCTAGTTCTGGCATTACTTCTTTTTTGTTCCTGTTTCTTTTATTTGGTTTGGTGCAGAAAAAAAAACAAAAACAAAAACAAAAAAAGAAATCATGAAAGTGAATGCTGTTAGCGGCCTCTGTGCTGAACAAGTTCTGTGTGTGTGTGTGTGCTGTAGGATAGCTGTGGAGTGTCCCGTTTGCAGCTCTAGAATTAACAGTGGTGCTGAGCGATCCGAGTGTCGTGCCCAGAAGACGGGCAGGCTGAAACAAAGAGACGCCCTTTGGCACATTGCTTAGCGCAAAGCCCTACAAAAAACAAGAAAAACAGTCGCTGTGCTGCCTAACCAGAAAAAAAGCCAGTCTCATTCCATTCTGAACTCCCTAAACAAAGTGAAAGCAGGTTTAATTAGCTGGATGTCTCCGCAGAGCTCTCCCAGGGGTTGGGAGCTGGAGCCGAGTGAAGGCAGTGTTAGGCCACCCGGTGCCAGAGGCTCTGCCCATGAGCAGACAGCATCCCCGCTGCCATGGGGCAGGAGCCCCTATTTCTCTCCCAGCTCGCCCCAGTGGTGCAATGTGGGGCTACATCGGCTCCTATCTGGCCGCTCCCGTTGTATGACAGCCTCCTGCAGCCTGGCCTGGCCCGGGGGGCACGAGGAGATGGCAGTCACACGGTGTTGGTGCGGCTGTCGTGTCACGCCTGGTTACCACTGTGAGAGGCAGCTCCACAAACAGGCTGACAGCACGGCACGAGCGTCTCGGAGCTGCCGAAAGTTCCTGCAAGTTGTGCTCAGCAACTTCCTGCCTCATTCTGCTCTTTCTCTTCCAATTTCCCACGTTTCTCTCAGCGCATAGTCATGAGAGCGCAGGGAGAGATTCCCATCCTCTCGCAGGAAAGAAGCAATTTTCTGTGCGTTGCGCTGTGTGGCCGCGGAGAAACCCTGGCAGCCGTTCTCTAAAAGAAGCCCCGAACTTTGTGCTGTGACAGCGACCAGAGACACGCAAAGAGCGCCCGATGGAGAGCAAAGCACAGCCCACGCGGGGCCAGGGCCGCGCGTCCGGAGGCTGCGATGGCAAGTTCGGGGTCCCGCAGGCAGACACGTCTCAGGAGCCACGGCAAAGAGGGAAGAGCTGGCAGAGGGGAGCGCGGCAAAGAGGAAACGGGAGAACTCCCACCGCTCGTACGGGGCACGGTTCTGCCCCGACGGAACGCACGCAATGTCTACTTACATCCCATTCGATAGCGCGGATCCCGCGTCCCCTCGGTACCGTCCCGGCAGCGAGCTGCCAGGCAGGCACATCTGGATGTAGTTAGCGGAAGACATTCTTCAGCCTTTCAGCAAAGCCGAGGAAATTCTGGCCGAGCCAGGCGGGGTTCTCCCCTGCACCCCGCGCCGCGCTCACACTGCGCCCCCCCCCCCCCCCCCCCCGCGCGTCCGCGTGGTGCCGGGGGGCTCGGCCCGCGGGGGTCCGCCGCGATGGGGCCCCGTCTGCCCGAGGTCGGTGGGGTGGAAGGAGCGGCCGCACCGGGGAAGCAGCTGGCTGCGGACCCAATGCCGGCACGTGACCGGCGGCCGTGCGCGCAGCTGGCCTGCGGCACAGAGCGCGGGGACAGGATGGGGTCCCCTGGGTTCTGCTCTTTTTCTGGCTGAAGCAGCCAGGAAAAAAAAGAGAAAAAAAAAGAAAAAAAAAAGATTTTTAATTTTTAACTTTTTTTTTTTTTTTTTAAACAGGATTTGTTCTTTCCCAATTTAGCTTTTTATTTTATTTTGTTTTGTTTTGTCTTGTTTTTAATTCCATTATGATTATTTACCTCTGCAAAGGTTGCAGAAACTGAGGTTGGGTTCAGTCCTTCAAGAAGGAAACTCAACCTGGCGTTTGTTCCTTTATCCTAGCAGGGAAGTGATGGGAGGGGATGGAGAGCTGAGCAGAGTCTGAAGGCGGATCATGGAATCATGGAATCATTAAGGTTGGGAAAGACTGCTAAGGTCATCGAGTCCAGACATCCTCCTACCAACATCACCCACTGCCCACGTCCCTCAGTGCCACATCCCCACCCTGGGGCACCTCCTGGGACAGTGACTCCCCCCCTCCGTGGGCAGTTGTGCCACTATTTCAGAGCAGAACTTTTTCCTAATAATCCAACTATGCCAAAATTCCCTGAACACCAAACTAACACCCCCGCCTTCTTCCTCTTATTTTAAAACTCTTACTTTGAATTACTTCAACACAAAAAGGTTTTAACAGGAGCTGAGTCTGAATGGTTGTCACCACCTACTGATGGCAGTTTCTGTTTCTGTCTCTTGGTTTCTCTGTTTCTGCACTGGACGCACTGACCACTCGTCTTCCCAAGACTGGAGAGTGCCCAGTGGGACCTCCATAGTATGCCAGCTTTTTGTTTATGCCAAGCTTGTCATAAAGCTGTGGTTTTGACCTATTTGGTTGTTTTCAAAAAACCCCTATGTGGCTGAAGACACCTCCCTCTTTCTCCTCTACAGCAGCAGCCCCAGGCTATCTACCTTTCATCCCTCTCCTGGGTGACAGTCCCGGAGGTGAGGAACAGGCGGCGTCCTCTGCTGGGAGCTGTGTCACTCTGCGTGGCAATGCTGTGTCGGTAATTTGGTCAGTGGCGCTGTGTATGCAGTGTCTGCCTGCCTGCTGTAGGACAGAGCCCTGCTGCCCATCACACCCCTGGGGAGCCATGCTGTGCTGCTGGGTATAATACAGTGTGGTGATAAATGAAGAAGGGCCGATCTTGGGATTTAAAGTACTGCCTGAGGTTTCAGTGTGTCAGAGTGAAATATTGCTCTGCTCCAGCTCATGGCTGAAGGAATTTCCCCGAGTGCAGCTGTCAGGTCAGCCCATGGCTTCCTGTGCAAACCCAGAGCAGAAGACGGGAAGTCCAAACCCAGCAGCTCCCCCGCAGTGGGCTGCTGCCCCTGAGAACGCTGACCACGAGCGGGGCCCAGGGGGCAGGAGTGGTGCCGTGGGCTTGGAGCAGCCTCACAGATGTAGCAGCACTGGAGGGAACACGGGGAGCTGCCAGATGGCACTTTGGGGGGACCCCACCTGAACAGGCCCAACCGTGAGTTGCTGGAAACTGAAGAAGTCATGCTGGCTGTGCTGGGTTTTGACTTGAAATGGCAGCCATGCACTTTCAGGTGGGCACCGGCCTTGGGGCAGAACTCTAGGACTCTATTCTGCATCCAGAAACCTCAGCTGGATGCTGCTGTGACAGCTGGTGAGGCCAGAACTTCAGAACCCTTTTCTTACCACCGTATGAAGTGCTTAAAAAGAAAGTCTCTCAGGCTCTTTTTGTCAAAAGTATATGTTTATTTATAAAAGAGAATGAAAAAATAGACCAAAGTGCTTTTTTTTTTGCTTTTTTTTTTTTTTTTTTTCTCCTATAGAAGACAATACATATAGGCTGAATGTCCCAGACCTGAGTATGCGTGGTTTTGCAGCCCACAGCTGCAGATGCTGATCCCAATCTGATGCTGCAGAGTGTGGAAATTTGGAAGTAGAAGGTCAGCAAGGGATTTTTCCACTGATGACTAAGGGACTTGACCACAGATCTCCAACTGATTTAAATTAGTCAAACTCCTTCACTGGCTTTTAAAGTTCAAACCCAGTCAAATCCAGAGAAGAAAAAAAAAATTACTTCATTTTACTGCAATTTTTTTACTTCAGGCCTTACAAATTGGATCCATTGCTGTGCCAAAGCCAAGTGGCCAGACTCAGCTGTGGGAAGCAGAGCACCTCACCACCCCCACTCACCCACCCTGCTGTGTTGGTCAGACTGAAGAAACCTTCTCCATCCCCATTCCAGTACTGCCTTGGATTCAGACGTGCAATGCTAGAGGTTCGTAGCTACATGTGAAGTTTCAGCTAAACTCAACAAGTGAGTCTGGGGCCCCTCAGTGCCTTGTGTGCCACATTGGGTTCCTGCTCTGAGGTATGTCTGAAAGGCAGAGCTGACCCTCTGACCCACTGAGGATGTCTCCTCAGTCCTGAAGCAGATTTTTCAACGGATAGCAAAAAGGGGAAAAAAACCACAATTTTGTCACACGAGGAGAAGACCTTTGCCAGAGTAGCTTCCTCTCCAGGCACCTACGACTTCCCCAAGCAAGTGGTTTCCCTCACCCTACACACCTCTTGATCTTAATGTTGTCCAGATCTTGACATTTTCTGCTGCAGTTTCCCCCAGGTTGTGAAACAGAGACAGTACTGAGACTTGCTGCGAAACTTCAGGAAACCATTTTAGCTGGGGGCTCTGCAACCTGAAGCTCTGCAACCCGCAGTGCTCAGACAGGAGCTTCCCATTCTGCATTAAAAATAATCCATGTATCTGCCTCTGCAAGTGTGTGGAGCCCTGGAAAGTGCTGCTGCAAGCGGTCAATTGGCATTTGTTCTTAATTTGACTTGCTGTGAAAAACTGGAAGTGAATTTTATTATTTCTTTTCAATCTGGCTCACGGTTTTGCAGCGGTTCCAATCACTAACACCAAAGCCCTGTCCTTTTTGAGTCAGCTTGCCCATAGGCAGCTGCAGCTTGTGAGAACTAAAGCCGGCAGAAAGCACCTTCCCTGCCCCACTTCGATTGATCAGCTGGGATGATCACAGTCTTTTTCAGCATGTTAAAATCTATGGTGTATTCCTTACCATCATCCAAGAGGCCCAAGGCCGGCCTTTGGATGGCTCCGTCCTGCAGGGCAAGTTTGATGCTTTCCTTTGTTCCCATTTTACACCCGAGTGTCTCCCTCTGTTTACCTTCTGAGCAACCTCATGTGAAAGTCTGCGCACTTTGACTTCAACTCTCTCTCGCTGCCCAGCTGTAGCTCCACTGTGCCAAAACAACTTGCTCAAATCCTCCTTTGGATGCGTTTTTATTCCTTCTGGCAGACTGAAAGGAGCCTCCTTCAAATCTGAAACACTGCTAAAAACCACAGAAACGGTCTGCACCACAACAAAAGCCCTCTTGGATCCTGCCCTGGACGCATGTTTTGGCCTCGTTTCATGCTGTTTATTTTTTGTCTCTCATTTCATTTTTTACACAGAACTGATAACTATCTTCATTTGCTTTTAATAGCGCGTGCTGGTTTGATGCATGTTTGATGGCCTCCCCCAGCAGCATTTTTTTCAGGCGTATCTACACATAGGGAAGAGCTGCCAAGGGATGCAGCCCAGTCCAGCTGCAGCTTTGCTCTCAGCCCATCTCACACACTAGATTCAGCTGACCAGTGTAAGGAGCACTAAGGGGCTCACCTGCATGTCTTGGCACCTGAGTAGGGGCAGTGTGCAACAGCTTTGCCCAGGAAAAGAAGAAAGCCAGCGTCCAGCACTGAGTGTCTGCTTTCCAGCAAGTATCCCCAACCTGTAATTCTTCCTCTGGTTTCACTCACTGCATTGCTATCAGAGGTAAAGACTCTGATTTCTTCCATAAACCTCTGCTAATGTTTTTTGTTGCGAGTGCTTCTTCCTGTCCTGTGTGCTGTAAGTCCCCTTGTCCTGGCATGCTGGTGCACAACAGCTGTAAAATCTTCTGGATAAAACAGGCCCAAGTAAGTCTGGAGTCATGCCCTAACCACGTGTCAATTCAATGCAAAGGACACTGGGTTCTCACATCCTATAATTCGTCTATTTCATCACAAGGCATCTGTGAAAATTGCCTCTATCTGTGTTTGTGCCAAATGACACAGAAAAAAACAACTCTTTTAGCAGGCAGGAGTCTGCTTGAGACAATAATCAAATGTGCATTGCACATAATATACAACTACTGGTACCTGATTTCTGAAAAGAAGGAGCCAGGAGCTCCAGCACTTAATGGCACATTAGGGAGGGAATCTGTGAGTAAGAGGAGACACACAGGCCAATTGCTAGCAGAGGAATAAAATGCACAAGGTTTGCATTATAAAAAAAAAAAAAAAGAAAAAAGCATTCATGCTCAATGCTCCATAATAACAGCAAAGAGAGTTTTTGTACTTAAAGTCGATGCCAAAGAATGAGCTTTTCTCATTTTGAGTGCTAAGAGATGATATAAAAGCTTTTATACACCAATGAGCCACTGCCTTATAATGGTATGAACACTGAGCAATGAATACCGGTAGGCTGAGAACTTAGAAATATTCACTACCAATGAGGCAGCACACCATGCATAGGTCGTGTTTTCTGAAAAGCCATTTGCTGCAAAATAAAGAGCAAACACTGTTGCTCTTACAGCAACTTTCAAGTTTCTGATTTTTTTTTTAGAACCATTGGCCAGGTGGGCTGCTGCCAGAGTTCCCCAGCCAGGGAAAGCTAAATGCTCCCAAGTACAGTCCCACTGCAGCCCAAACCAACGAAGACCAGCATCACTGTGCTGGTCCCAAAAGGAAACGTGGCAGAGATACTCATTTTCTTTTGGGGAGAGCGCTGGTACTGCTGGAAGGGAGAGGACAGGACACGGAAAACATTCTTCTCCGTCTGATTTAACTTCCAAGACCACCAGCTGTTCCTGCCCATGGATGGGAAGGTCAAAGAGGAAGAGAATTAACACCTAAGTAAAAAAGTATCAGTAAAAAATAAGGAATATGTCAAAACTGGTTGTTGTGCTTCATGGGACCTGTGTTGTGCTAGAAACTTGTTGCTCTGTGCTTTGGTATAGGTAAAGGTATAAGCCCTGCTCTGTCGCAGCCTGCATCAACACACCAAGAGACAGCAGGCCCGTCCCACTGGAACTGAAAGCAGAAATCAGCCCTGAGTTTTGGGTACTTTCTCTTGTAAGCAATATTTTGCCCTCAAAAGCAAGGCAGGTAGGTCCAGGCATGGGATCTGATGCCCAAGTGTCACACAGCAACAACACTGCTGTCATTGGAAAGGCTCTGTGCAGATCCTGACACATCCCTGGTGAACTCAGCAGGCCAAGGACAGGTTGAGCGAAGGCACTGGCAGCCAGCTGGTTGGAGAGGCTTGCTCGGTGGGGTCTGGCTGGTATTTGATGCTGTAATGCACCATACAGCAGCAGGTTCAATCAGTGACCTCTAGGCAATTTGCTGACTCTAAGGCTGTATATTATTCTTGCAGCACTGTGTTTTTCCTTTCACAAACTCCTCCAGGCTGGGAGAAGTGCTAGACGTGAGGCAGTCAATACATACAGTCACCATACATACATACAGTACACCATAGTCCTGAAAGAGCTCTGAATTTGCACTTATCCACACTGTTTGTTCAGTGCCTGAAGTCTTCTACAGCAGCAATCTTGTGCCCTGTGGAACATGATGACTGCCTTTGGTAAAGGCAGTGGCACGTGGTAAGATGTGGGAAGGAACTACACCGGGGTAGAGCAGGACAGGTGTACTTGCTGCAGATGGTCCTCATTTGAAGAACAAAGAAAACATTATAAACTTGACTTTTCCGTTGTCTTTACATAGTTTCAAGCCTGAAGGCATACATGTCAATATGAGACAATATATTGCAGTTCTCCAGGTGATGGCCCCTGAGCCACATCTGAGAAACACTGGCTTTGCTTCCCAGGGGAATTCTCTGAGATGCCTTCCTTGCTTTTCACCTCTTCCCACCTTCCCCAGGGCTCATTAACTTGCCTGGCTGCTTCTCTGTGACATTTCAGTCCTGAAGGAAGTCAGCCTGTCTTAGTGGTTCACAGGAAAGTAACATCGACTTCTGGAAACAGAAAGAAATAAGGAACATCAGAGCCCCATGTTGGCTTCTGGGAGCACAGAAACTGCCCAGGGCACTCCCTTCAGCACATAAACCTGCAGTGATTTTCAAGGCATTACATTCCCAGACGCTGGCAGCAGTCTCATACACTAACTAAAGCAAGAAAGCCCTCAGCAATGCCACCACCCTTTGGGCTCTAGGAGTCATCCTCATTGGAATGGAGGCCCAAGAGCTCCTCAGACAAGCTTGTGAGACCATTTTCTTCCAGGGCTGCAATCAGTCGTGCTATTGTTGCCTTCTTCCCCTCCGACTGGATAAATCGAAGAAGCATCTGATAGGCTTGTTCATAAAGTCCGTCTCTGTCGTATTCGTGGGCCAGGTTATCAATGACAGGATCTCGCAGGGCCCGGCAGTTCTTCTGCAAGGAGCGACCCACTTGCTTCCACTTCTTGGACACAAGCTTGGCAAATTTCTGGTGGTCATCTGGTGTGAGCGTTCTGTTGTCTGAAAGGAACAGAGGGCAGATTAAACATAGGGTTTCATGGCTGATGTGATGTAGGCAGGGTTTGGTCAGTGTTCTGTGGAGCTGGGAGGCTGTTCAGAACTCACAGTGCATTGTTAGGAGCTGTGCTGCTGCTCTGCTTGTCTGCTGGTATCTTAACACCTGGCCAGCACTGCGCTGGGAGCAGAAGCGCAAGAGCAGTGAGGCTAAAGGGACTGGTTTGCTGCGGGCAGGGCTTGTGCACTCTGACACAATCCTCTAATGCTGGAAAGAGAAAATCAACTGAGCAGCACCGATGGCTTGGGTGGCACTTACCCATTCCCAGCTGTCTGCTCTGGCATTTCTGGGATTCTGTCAGGCTCATTCCCCTTCCAAAATCCTTCCTTGACATCAAGGTACCTGGGCTTGCCCCTACCTAACATGTTTTTATTTTCCTATTTTTCCTGGGGTTTGCCAGAGCTCAATTTTCTTTGACAGACATCCTCTTTGTTTCCGCCTTTCAAAAGCAACTCAGACCAAGCCCCCTGCTCCCTGGCTACACATCCTTAAAGTACTGAAACGCAGACAGGAGCTCTCTCCTCAGCTGTTCAGCACTGGGGACTGTTCACACACCTTAGGCACACTTGGAAAAGACCAGGCTGATCTCAAACTAAAACTGCTACACAGGACCACCTGAAAGCTTTCTGCAGCAGACATCTGTAACAGACACTGTACCGCAGGGTGCCTGGACTAAGCAGGTCAGCACAGGACAAAAATAAGCCGAGGCCTGATCTGAAGGAGTGTGACAGTATCTTAATACTATTGCAACTCCTTCTCCATGGGATGCTGGGAGATCCTTAGTTTACCCCAGGTACACTCCACCACATGGTGACATTAATGCTCCCTTCTGGCCTTTGAGATTCTCTGGCTCAGTTCCCATTACTCACCAAACTGCTGTCCCTGAAAAAGAAATGTGACTTGTGGGGAAAGGGAGCTGCCTTGAGAAGTTAGAGAAGGGGAGTTCAGTGACATGCAGTCCTTGGAAGGCATGTTGTTGTTGATGTTCTGGTGAAGAATCAGGCTCTTGAGCCGTTCCTCCAGCTCTGTGATCTCCTCGTCCCGCAGGCGGTCAGGCTGTAATGCAAACAGCATTGATGATTTATGCCAGTTTCACCATCTCACAAAGCTGTAGGTATTTAGCTGGAGGGCAGGTTTTCAGTGTGGCTTAGGATCACGGTGTTGAGAGCAAAGCAATGAGATTGCTATAGCTGGTATTGTGAATTGGACAGATGGTCTAATGGAGTTCTGGCAAAAGTCTGCGCATTTCTACCTGCAGTGTGATCTGAAATGGGCAGTGCCCCCCCCGGGTCTGTCACATGCATCAGTGACTACTTACAAGCTGCACAGAATTGCTCCTAGTCCGCATTTATTTTCAGAAGCCTACTGCAAGAATTAAGGCAGCAGAGCTTCTCTGATTTACTCCACATGAGAGTCAGACCCACAAAATAGGGTGAGCTGATCTAACAGCTCATGGCCACCAAAGCAGGCAGCTCCTGCTACTCTCCTTCTCCCTGCCTTCCCCTCCTATACTTAAGTGTTGTTCCTAGTGCTTCTGCAACCTCTCAAGCCTTTCTGAGATAAAACCAATCTGATATCAAAAGAGAAAGTAAGGAGAAAGAGGATAAGGAAATAATGCAGAGCACGTGTGAGCAGTCAAACTCCATGGTGCTCTGACTCAGTTTAGCGCTTACGCTTGCATACAGCAGGTTGGCACCCAGCACTGCCCTCAGCCGGCCACTGATCTTTCTGGCTGCTGCGCTGGTAGGCAGAGGTCAGGCTGAGTCAATTCTGGGGAACAGACAATAACCCATTTCTCTTGTCCAGTCAGCTAATTCAGCAGAGGGAGGGAGCAGCAAGCAGAAGTTGAAAGGATGCCTGTTATCACATGTTTGGTCCCGGGTGAATGGTTTGCATTTCATCTCTGCACTTGCAGAAAAGCAACCTGTCAGAACATGTTCTCGTGCCTAATCTTCCAGTGGAGGCAGAGACTGCCTGATCCTAAGGACTGCTGAGAGGGAAGCAAAGCTGTCAGATACTGGTAGTTCCAGGTGGGAAAAAAACAAGGAGAGGAAAAAGGCAATAAGCTTAATCACAGCAAGTGCTTTGGTTTTGTGGTAAGATGACAAGATCCCACTGTTAGAATCACAGAATCATAGAATCACAAGGTTGGAAAGAACTTACAAGATCATCCAGTCCAACTGCCCTCCCATCACCATTGCTACCACAGGCACTAAGCCACATCTCACAGCTCCTCATCCAGGTGCCTCTTGAGCACTGCCAGGGACGGCGACTCCACCACCTCCCTGGCAGCCATTCCAGTGCCTGACCACCCTCTGAGAGAAAAAGTTTCTCCTCATGTCCAAACTAAACCTCCTCTGGTACAACTTCTGGCCATTTCCTCGGGTCCTGTTTGTTGCCTGGGAGAAGAGGCCAAAACCCCTCCCCATCACAGCCTCCCTTCAGGAGGTTGCAGAGTGCAGTGAGATCTCCCCTGAGCTCCTCTTCTCCACACTGAACAATCCCAGCTCCCTCAGCTGCTCCTCATAAGCCCTGTGCTCCAGACCCCTCACCAGTTTCGTTGCTCTTCTCTGCACACACTCCAGGGCCTCAACGTCTTTCTTGCAGTGAGGGGCCCAAAACTGAACACAGTACTCGTGGTGCGACCTCACCAGAGCGGAGTACAGGGGATGCTCACCTCCCTGTTCCTGCTGGCCGCACCATTTCCAATGCAGGCCAGGATGCCGTTGGCTATCTTGGCCACCTGGGCACACTGCTGGCTCGTGTTCAGCCAAGCACCAACCAACACCCCCAGGTCCCTTCCTCTTCACACTCATCCAGCCACTCATCCCCAGGCCTGCAGCACTGCATGGGGTTGTTGTGGCCACAGTGCAGGACCCGGCACTTGGCCTTGTTGAACCTCATCCCATTCACCTCAGCCCAGCGATCCAGCTTATCTAGATTGCTCCCTACCCTCAGGCAGATCCACACCACCTCCCAGCTTGGTGTCATCTGCAAACTTACTGAGGGTGAACTCAATCCCTTAACCTAGGTCATCAGTACAGATATTAAACAAGATGGGCCCCAGTACTGGCCCTTGTTCTTGCTAGCAGGATTAGCCAGAGCCAAAGTGTGAGATGAGATGGATACAGATGGACACCAGATATCATCCTTGAGAGAGGCATTGATGTCAGAACAGCAGCCTGCTGGCAGCAGATGCTGCGTGTCCCCACTCTGTCACAAGCTGTTGGTGCAGTGTGTGATGTTTTTGCTCGTGCTCATGTTACCATTGCTAGGGTTGAGATGTGCGAGGCAGGGGAGAAAGGTAGCTCTATAGTCCTTGAGAAAAGTACCCAGATCTTTTCTGGGGAAGGGCAGAGCTGTTCTCCATATTACAGTTGAGAGCTGAAGGAAGGAGAAGTTGGCAGCCCAGTGCACAGCAGCAGAGCAGAATTTGCACCCGCTTTGCATCCTGTGTTACTGCTTGGCTTCCCTCCCTCTCCCATTCACCTTTTCTCTGTATATGCACTCCAGGCAGCGATCCTCATCCTTCAGCATGTTGTCCAGGTGCTCATTGCCAGCCTTCAGCTCCATTTCTAGAGGCACCGTGGTCATGGCCAAGGAGAGCTGGAGGTGGTTCTGGAGGGACTTCTGGAGCAATCCTTCCCGGTAACTCTGCAGGAAGCGGCGGCAGTTCTCCTGCTTGCAGAATTTGAGCTGGACTATCAGGTGTGGGTGGCTGCAGTGCACTTTGAGCATGTCCACACCATTCACGCTGCCGGTGGAGTCTGGCAGGGAGAAGTGAGCAGAGTCACTATCCAGGCACGAGACAGACAACCCAGACCCACTCCCATCCACCACCAAGCCTGCAATGGAGTAGCTTTTGAATCGTCTTCTCTCTGTGATAAAGTCCTCTGGGATGAAAAGCCTGTATATAAAACCAAGAGGAAAGGATTAGGTTTCGCTGCCCTGTGACCATGAATCCCTGCAGCGTGGCATCCAGAGGAAGCTGTTCTGTACTACAGCCCAGGTAACTTCCCAAAGCAGCTCACTGGGGGAGGTTTTAAGTTCAAGGTTCCACTTCTAGGGCAGAAATGGTTAGATTAAAACAGTACACAACACAGATACACATTTTATACACAAAAATGCACGGTTCAGTTCAGTTCTGAGCCAGATTTCTGTCCCCATCACTGGAGTTTCAGGCAGTGGTAAAGGTCCTGGAAGGAGACCTAGCATTTCTTCCCCAGCCCTGTGCCCACAGGTAGCTTCTGGCTTGATGCCTTCAGTGCATCTCGCAAATGGCAAATGACAGACCCAGCTACATGACAGACCCACCCACAAGAATTTTGGCTGTCAGAGTGGACGCCTTTAAATTTCTTTGCACAAAGAGTGAATTCACTGTAAAATGTCAGCAAGGACAAGGCAAGGATGTGCCTTCTGAAGTCAGTGTGGATGGAGCCTGAGAGACATGGACAACAGATGGAGATCAGGCATTCATCCTTCCTTCCCCCAGCAGAGCTTAAATTCGATTAGCTGTGCACACTGACCGTGTCTTCTATGCTCTCTCTTGCAGCACTGGCCTGTGGTAGGCTGGCTGCACTGCCTGCACAGAGCAGTGTGGATGAATCTGCTCAGACTGCCGTTGTGTCAATGATTTCTAAACCACACACCATGGCATTATTTAAACGTGCCCAGAGGAATACTTAAGGCAAAGGAGACCTGCGTGTTCTGCAATAGTGAGGACAAATGACCTAGCATTTGAAAATCTGTGCTAACAGTGGTATTACAGGGTTTACAGACTGCTGGTTGCATTAGAAGCTTTATTTGGTCTAGATGCATAACTTGGACTATGTACTTAGGAGAAGCATTTTAATTCTGTTCAGGATTGCTGATCAGAAACGCCCTTTTATTTTTATTACTTCCTTCATGCTTTGTGTTTTGTATGTGCTAATTAAACAAAAGCTTGCATAACTGGGCAAGAGGGCTGGGGTAGGGAAAAGCTGTACAGACATGAAACCTTTCTGAATGGCATACAAGGCAGCCACTTCAAAAGCAGCTTCTTTCTGAAACTTCTGACAGCTTCAGATTCCATGTCCTTTTTAGGTACGAATGAGCATGGTAGCATTTAGCCTTACTGAGAGCTTTCCTCTAAACGTGTGAGCAGATGCACATTCCAGTGAAACAAAGCAGGCAGAAATTGAGCCTAACTGGACAACTCTGTTGGGCTTCCTGCTGTTTCACGTCTTTAGATATGGAACTGGCCTGCACTGGAGCAGCTAGCCAGCTTTGCTAAACTGATGACTGCCAGAAGAAATACATGATAATTGCATAAACCCAGTTAAACACTATGACCTCAGTTGTATGATAGGTAAAGAGCACTGTGGGATAGCTGTTCTAGGTAAATATGATAAATTCTTCAAATTACAATGAGTCTAAAGTCAGCTTGGTGCAAAGGTAGGAAGAGAAACATACTTTTATGGCCATCTGTATCTCAACACCTTTTTTTGATGTAAATAGGCTTAAGTACAACTGATGCTAATGTAACTGTGCCTGTTAAAGTCAGAAAATAGCTTCTGTTGGCCATCACTCTTTTAAAAAATAGCCTTCAAAAAAAGGAAATCATGTTTCTGCAGCAGAAATCAAGCATTTTTCATACCAACTGCAATGCTCCTACATAACTGTGTTTAAGTAAACATTCATAAAATAGGATCATTCACGAGACAGCTCAAATTGAAAGGAAGCCCAGGAAGTCGCTAGCCCATCCTCCTTTGCAAAACAGTCAGTTCTGAGGTCAGACCAAGTTTCTGAGGGCTTTATCTGTGCCAGGACAGAGAACATACAACTGTGTTCCCAGAGGAAAATGTCTGACCTGTCATCCAATGTCTACTTAGTTTTCATTTATGCCTGCTGTCTCTCATTTCCCATACCACCATCTGAGTGCATCCTTCTCTCCCTGCTAGCCTCCCTGTAGGTACCGGCAGGCTGGTGGTGGGCTCCCCAAATCCTTCTCTTCTCCAGGGTGAACAGGCCTGGCTCCTCAGCATCTCCTTTCCAAGCATCTTGGTGGCCCCCTGCTGAACTCATTCCACGTTATCAACATCTTTCTTGTACTGCAGGACCCTAAACTGGGTGCAGTATTCTAGATGTGGTCTAATGAGTGCTAAGCAGAGGGAGATAATCATTTCCCTTGATACACTGTATTTCTGGGTTGCCAGACTTCACCTTTAGCTTGCTACCTACCAAGACCCTCAGGTCCTTTTCAACACAGCTGCTCTCCAGCCAGTCCATCCCCATCCTGTTCTGCCGCTGGGTTCCTCCTTCTCAAGGACAGATTGCTTTGCTACTACTGAACTTCATAGGATCCCTGCTTGCCCATTCCTTCTCCAGGTCTCTCTGGATGGCAGCCCTGTCCTTGACCATACATTGGAGTGCAGGACCATCTGCAAGCCTGACAAGTCACAGTCTGAAGAGAGATGCCAGCCTTTCTGAGTTACAGGGCCTTCCTTTCTGACTTGGCAGCCTCAGCAGACAACAGATGCTTCTGAGCATGAACACAGACACTAAACCCCACAGTACTGATCATAGAATGGCTTAGTGTGGAAGGGATCTGCTGGCTCATGTCCTGCTTTTCATCTACCAGGACCTCCACGTCCTTCTCTGCAGGGCTGCTCTCAATGAGTTCTTCTCTCAGTCTGCACATATATGCCTGCAATTGCCCCAGCCAAGCGCAACATCTTGCACTTGGCCTTGCTGAACCCTGTTAGGTTCTCTAATGCACTCTTGAGCCTGCCCAGGTCCCTTTGGATGGCATCCCTTCCTTCTATTATCATAGAATCATAGAATCATAGAATCACAGAATTACAAGGTTGGAAAAGACCTGCAAGATCATCTAGTCCAACCACCCTCCCTTTGCTATTAGTACCACAAGCTACGAAACCACATCTCGTAGCTCCTCATCCAGGCGCCTCTTGAGCACTGCCAGAGACGGCGACTCCACCACCTCCCTGGGCAGCCATTCCAGTGCCTGACCACTCTCTGAGAGAAGAAGTTTCTCCTAATATCCAACCTAAACCTCCTCTGGTACAACTTCTGGCTGTTTCCTCAGCTCCTACTATTTGCCTGGGAGAAGAGGCCAGACCCTTTTTCATCACAGCCTCCCTTCAGGAAGTTGTTAAGTGCAATGAGTGCAATTATGTCAGATGCCCCACTCAGCTTGGTGTCATCTCCAAACTTGCTGAGGGTACACTCAGTCCCACTATCTATGTCATTGATAAAGATGATGAAGAGCACCAGACCCAAGACGGACCACTAGGGAACACCACTTGCAACCAGCCTCCAGCACATAGAGCCATTGACCAGAACCCCTGGCTGTGGCCAGCCAAGCAATTCCTTATCCACAGAACAGCCAAGCCTTCAAATCCATCTCTCTCCAATTTAGAGATAAGGATGCAGTGTGGGACTATGTCAAAAGCCTTGCACAAGTCCAGGTAGGTGACATCAGTTGCCCTTCCTTTGTCCACTGATGTTGTCACTCAACTATAGAAGGCCACCAAACTCTTCAGGCACGACCTGCACTTAGGGAAGCCACACTGGCTGTCTTGGATCACCTCATCTAGCACGTGCCTTAACAAATCTTCCAAGAGGATCTGTTTTATCATCTTCCCAGGCACAGAGATGAGGCTCACTGCCTTGTAGTTCTCCAGGTCTTCCTTTCTCCCTTTCTTAAAAATGGGAGTAATGTTTCCCTTTTTCCAGTTACTGTGGACTTTGCATGACAGCTGTGACTTTTCATATATGATGGAGAGCAGCTTGGCAACCACAGCAGCCAGGTCCCTCAGAACCCTGGAATGCATATTGTCTGGCCACAAACTTGTACGCATTCAGCCTTGTGAGGTAGTCTCCAACTTGCTCTGCTCCTACAGTTGGAGTGATTTTGCTCCGCTGACGCCCACCTAGAAGTTCAGTGACACAAGAGGTGAAAGAAGCCTGACTGGCAGTGACGGCTGAGGAGAAGAACTTGTTAAGTACCTCAGCCTTTTCCATGTCTGAGGAGGCCAGTTCTCCATTCTCCTTTATCAAAGGGGGTAAACAGTCCTTCATTCATCCCTTCCACCCAATGTATCTGGAGAATCCCTTGTTTTTCACGTCCCTTGCCAAGTTTAATTCCACCTGTGTCTGATCCCATCCCTTCACATCGAGACAGCATCGCTACACTCCTCCCAGTCCACCCATCCCTGCTTCCAGAGCTTGTAATTTTCCTTCTTTTCCCTCAGTCACAAGGAGGGTGGACACGGTGGCTATGGAGCAGGTCAGCAGCATGCTGAGCCAGGCAGCCAGCTGCTGCAGTCTGATGACTGTGGTCAGTTTAAGTCCTGCAACGGCCCCAGCCTGCAAATCCAACTCAAGTTGGATTATTAGTCCAAGAGATGGACTAGATTGCATGAAATTACAGTCATCCTATCCATTAGCTGTGTCTTGGGTTTGTAGAGTAAGCACCAGAATTCCTTACCCTTGAGTGAGGGATTAAAGAAAGGCTTGGCATTGCTTTGTGAAGAGATACCAATATATTTCAGTTTGCCAATATATCAGAGAGGATGGGTACCTGCTAATGCCAGCTTCAGTGCCTTGAACACGCAGGGCTTCTTCTGGGCGCTTTCATAGAGATTTGGCAGAATGATAGTCTTGCATGTTGACTGAAGGAAGAGGTAAGCACTGCCTATCCAAGGAGCCGAGCTACCTGCCATCTTCAGCACCTACAAAATCACACAGGTCAGCTGAGAAACTACAGAATAAATGGCCTGACATGGGGAGAACACAAGCATGACAAGATTACGCGGATTTGCCTTGTTTTTTGAAGGAGGTGGTGGTGCTGCTGAAGCAAGCATACCCTATAAGGAGTTCAATGTTATTTCGTAAAGAACAGCACAGTGGAACCTGGTGACCCAAAAACTTGGCAGCTCACAAAGTTCTGCATTCATTCTCCACTGGATTCCATTTATTTGTAGTCCAAAAATACTCCATGGCCTCATTTATCCCCAGCACAGTAAGATTACAACCAAGATGTACTCTGGGATTGTAGATTGCAAACTGAAATTTGATTTATCTAAAACTTTACAGCAAGAAGGTGTATCAGATCATTCGGACCTCATCTGCAGCACCAGTAACCCCCATGGCCATTGCAAAGGCCTTGTTCTCTGTTTACAAAGCTGTTGGGAAGTGTGCATGCGCTCCAGAGAATCCAAACCTGACAACTCAGCAAAAAAAACTGTGGTGCAAGGCCTCCAAAATCCTGAGAGCCACAGCACAGCACGAGAAGAGATGCACAGAGGCTGATGCAAACCGTAACCACAGCAGGATCCCGCGTAGGAACCACATGATACACACTGTAGAGCTGTTGGCACACACAGTGCAAATGCACAGCAGCCTTACAAGCCTCTCACACAGGCTGGGAACCTCATGAGGGTCAGCCAGGGACTCATAACCTGCTCCTAAGAAAGCAGAGCAGAGTAAAGCCCAGCAGTGCTGCCTTTATCCTGCTGCTGTCACTATGGACTTCGACCAGTCCTGGGGCCATAGGTATTGGAAGGGGGACGGAATCAGTCTGGTCAGACAAACCCTTCGTGTGATTCAATGGGCGTGTAGGACTCTTGGCTCTGCACTGGTAAACTCTTGGGGAAAACTCTTCACTTTAGGTCCTAGCCCTTTTATGATTCCCTTACAGGACAGCGCATCCATCTCTCCATTCTCACTGTGCCTCGCTGGCCAGCTAATACAATCATAGGATGGTTTGAGTGGGAAGGGACCCTGAAGGCCATCTGTTCACACCGAGCAGGGACACCCACAGCTCCATCAGCGCTCAGTTCCTCGACCTTGGCTGTCTGCAGGGATGGGGGGCAGCACCAGCTCTGTGTGCAGTCTGTGCCTCACTGCCCTGAGTGCGAACAACTTCTTCCTTAGCTCTGATCCGAATCTCCCCTCTT